TTTTTTTATTCGTCATTTACATCAACATATCCAAAAATTATATCATGAACAACAACAATCCAGCACGAAAGCTACGGAACTATTTACAGTATTCCGTGGACAAGGTTTGTCAGTTGAAAATTTCGATAAAATGAAACAAACCAAAGGAGGACTTATGTCCTTCAATAATTTCTTGTCCACAAGTGAAAATCATCAAGTGTCCGTTAAATTTGCTCGAGAAGGAGCATCGAAAAATCCCAGTATGATTGGCATCCTCTTCATTATGACTATTGATCCTGATGTATGTACAAAATCAAAAATTCCATTTGCTGATGTTAGTCAAGTTGGCTTTTTCGAAGGCCAAGAAGCTGAAATTCTTTTTACAACACATACAATATTTCGAATCGATAACATTCAACAAATTCATGACGATCATACTGATCGTCTATGGAAAGTTCATCTTACCCTTGTGGGTAATGACAACCACGAGCTAAATACACTTACAGCACACGTACGCAACGACGTCAACTTGAAAGCACCAATACGAGGATGGTCTCAACTAGCTTTCATACTTCTTAAAGTGGGTGAGCCTGCAAAAGCTAAAAAACTCTACAAAATACTTCTCCAAAAGGCATCTTCTGATAAAGAGAGATCAGATTACAATCAAAAACTTGGTTGGGCATATAATGATATGGGCGAGTACTCGAAAGCGCTTTCATCGCACAAACAATCACTGGAAATCCGAAAAATAGCTCTCCCTCCGAATCATCCTGACTTGGCTTCTTCCTACAACGGCATCGGTTTGGTCTATGATAACATGGGCGAGTATTCGAACGCACTTTCATCGTACGAACGATCACTTGAAATCTGGAAAATAGCTCTCCCTCCGAATCATCCCGACTTGGCTGGTTCCTACAACAACATCGGTATGGTGTATAATAACATGGGCGAGTACTCCAAAGCACTTTCATCGTACGAACGATCACATGAAATCCGAAAAATAGCTCTCCCTCCAAATCATCCCGACTTGGCTGGTTCCTACAACAACATCGGTTTGGTGTATGATAACATGGGCGAGTACTCAAAAGCACTTTCATCGTATGAACGATCACTTGAAATCAAAAAAAATAGCTCTCCCTCCGAATCATCCCGACTTGGCTAAATCCTACAACAACATCGGTGTGGTGTATGATAACATGGGCGAGTACTCGAAAGCACTTTCATCGTACGAACGATCACTTGAAATCCGAAAAATAGCTCTCCCTCCGAATCATCCCTTATTGGCTTCTTCATACAACAACATCGGTTTGGTGTATAATAACATGGGCGAGTACTCGAAAGCACTTTCATTTCTTGAAAAAGCGCATGAAATCGATCGAGAAACTCTGCCACCAAATCATCCACATATTGCACAGTCGAAAAGAAACATTGAAGGTGTGAAAAAGAAAATGTAATTGTTTTTTTTTAAACAAGAAAATAAAATGGCCTTTTTGAGCATGTTTGGCTCGCCGAAGCGCACCAGCTGCAATGATTTTGCGCACGCGCGACCAGGGATACCCTCCGTATTCTATTGGGTTGTACAGTGGACAAAGCAAACATACATTTATGTATATATGACTAGTACATCCATGATCATCATCTTCGGAAAGACGATGACAAGATAGATGCTTCTAGTCACACATACATAGATGTATGTTATAAAGGCCTACCATCTACACGCCTGTACAGGTTACCAACAGAACGTCGGATATCCCTGGGAAGGTTCATTTTGTTTTAGACCCACCCCCGAAAGCTCCATTTGTTTTAAATTTTTTTTTCTTCTGTTACGAAGAACGAGAAGAAATAGATAAACGCGAAGAAAGACGACGTCGACGGAATTGTAATACACGCAGCGTATAATGACAACCGATTGTTTTAACGCAAGCTGTGATATTGAGTGCACGATATCTATGTCGTCTTTACACATGTTGTGTTCAATTTATTTTTCTTTTCATCTGGAATGTGTAAGAAAAAATGACATGTCGTGCACTCAATATCATATTATACGAATGATGACTGAACGAAAGAAGAAGACAAAAAAAAAATTATCGACTATTCTGTTTGATTAGTAACATATACATATATAAGAGATAATTGAAAGAAGAAAATGAAAAAGGAATTTTTATAAATTTAATGATTTTTGTTACTTATTACATAACGTTTTTATACATTTTATTTTTATATTAGTACAAAGAATGACATCGGTGATGATGCAACTCATTGCATATCTAATTATGATATTCAAAGAACTTTTGTAAGTACAGATCTTTAAGAGGCGGCTTGTGTTCTAGACTATTTCGATACTTTTAAGATCGTGTGCCATGTTTTCTCACTTCCATTTATAGTTGATCGTCTCAAATAGATTACGAACAATCTTTCATTCATTAATATTCAGATCTGTAACTCATTTGGAATTGCACGATAAACTTCCATTTAAACATGATTTTTTCATTCTAATTACTCAAGCTTTTTCATCACTTAAATTATTATCTATTATGAATATTCGACCACAACTTTGAAGATTTTACAAATATCCATTCATTGATAACTATTCATATTCGGTTGTTGAATATTCTTATCTTATTTTACTTAATTTATATTTCTGAATGAATTTAAAACACATTTATCATGTTTAACTAAATTAAAAGATTTATATGGTCAATTAAAAAGTGTAATAAAAAGCTTAACAAGAAATGGAACAGAACAAAATTGAATCAAAGTGAAACGATTAATTGTTGAAGACTCAATAATTCTGTCTGAAGGTGTTCATCATTATTTCCTTTCTTTATAAATTCAATCTTATATTGATTTCACTTAAATAAAAATCAATAATTTATATCTTTCGTTTTTCAGAAAATAGAAAAGGTGTTAAATATTATTTGTTAATGATCGGACTATACGTAACATAAAATAAATCGATAAATCATTTTTGATCGTTCAATCTGAAGAAAGAAACATGAAAATAGTTATTTATTGCTTCAATTAAACAAATGATAACAGAATTATTTTACATTAAACATTAGCAATAATTATTAAGATTCCATAGTGAATGAAAGTTTTTTTTTCTAACTAACTTCTTTTCTGTAAGTCTAAAGATATTGCAACAAATGAGAAATACAGTGGACATACTCAAATGATTTTTAACATTTTCCATGAAAACTTAAGAATTTCCAATAAAAAAAATGATTAGGACATCTGTGATAAAATGCTGCAAATATATTAAAATAATTTATATAGATAGATGAATATAAGAGACTTTTGTGGTAAAAACACGTTTTTTTGTACCAAAAAAAAAGAAATATCTAGTGGAACATGATTCGAAACCATTTGTTCACGTTTTCAATGAGAAACAAGATGTTCCAATGCAGATCTTTGTAAATTCTTTTCTCATACCAATGTTTAAGTTATAATTTCGTTAGTAACTTGATTGTTTTACAAGATTCATTTCGAACATAATTAACTAACATGTATTCAATCTCGCTCATAATTCATATTAATCAATTTAATTTCTTAATCTACAGACAACGAATAATAGAAGTTATTTTATTGTTTCTCAGTAGTCGTTCTCTTTTACAAAGTAACTTGATATTGATTCTACAGATCTGTACTGTCAAATTTTACCGAAGGATAATGTATTGAACCGTTCTATCAAACAACGAAAATTATTCTATCATATTCAAAGCAAGCAAACCAAAGAATCATTTCAAATCGACATAATAAATTCCGATTATCTGAAGTAAACGAGATTGAACTAAAATTTAATGACACTGTAATGTTGAGACGATTCATGACATAAGTCTGAATGAACTAGAATGATCTCAACTGATATCCAAAAATCCGCTTGAAAGAGTCTAAACCTAATGGAATCAACGCTGATTTTCAAATCGACGAGAACAGATACCACAGTTAGATCTTACCTGAAAAAGCCGAATAGCGGTAACAACAATAAAATGAGATGATTTTTTGAACAATGTCTTTTATTATGCTTTAATAATCATTTACAATATTGTATATCTTCAACGAATAATGAATGTAGACAGTTGGTATCATCCAGATCGCTATTCAAAACAAAAGTCGATTTATCTCAATAATTGTTCGACTATTTTACATTGAACAATAGAGTTTGTTTTATAAAAATGATGAGAGTCTTGAGATAGTGATTCAAATTATTCCAATTAAGTTAATTCCAATCCTTTCAGCAATTTCAGTTGAGGAGGACTTGGAAAACTACTAGTATTTTTTGAGTAAGTTTTCAAGTATTGTTCCTCAGACACGAAAAGGTTCGTCTCATTTTGCTCTATCTTCTCATGTGAAATGAGGCAAAGATGAACGAATTCGATCGATTTTCAATTGAAATAATGAAACATAAACAAAAACAAACAGTTTTTTTCGAGTGATCCTTCCTATCTTTGGATGAATATTTCATTTCTATAAAAAGTCTTACGAAAAAAAAAATAAAAATTCTAAGATCTATTCTTAAGAAGTTAAATGAATATTAATCAAAGCACATTTGAGTTCAATATCACCAGATTTTATATTTAATGAAATTTAACTTGAAATTTTCTTTCAAACTCGATGAAAAGTAAACTACTCTCTCTCGATAAAAAAAAAGGATTTGAAATCATCTATCAATTCTCTGAAAATAGAAAATTCCGTTGTGTGGATGAGAATCAAATACCAATTGTATAATCAATAATTTATGTAGTTCTATAGTTTACGTCTCTCTTTCATTCGTACGTAGATTGGGAATGTACATTAAATAAATATTCTGAAATAAGTCAAAACAATTTCAATTCAACATTATACTGACAATCTTTAGTATGATGCTATTAAGAATGTTATAGATTCATTTATTTTACAATAAACCATGTTCTTGAGACCATTTTTCTTGGCGATATTTCTTTTTTATTTTTGACTTTATTACATCTAATTATGCAATCATTTGAGATCATGAGTATTTGATGTATATATGGAAGTCATGATTTATTAAATTCATGTAGAATTATTCTATAAATAGTTATTTAAAATGAAAAATCTTATTGATAAATTTTATATAGCAGAAGAAATTAATGCTAATTATGTTCAGGTTTTTTTTTCTTCGTGAAATCGAATCTACTTTTTATTCGTATATTTATGAATACTTATTAGAAAACAGATTGATTTACACCAAACAAAAACTATTAGATAATTACATTATTTTCTAAGATAATATTTATAGAAATATAATGAGATTTATCGATCTCTATCAGATATGATTCTATTTTATTTTCAACTTTAGATAAAAATTGTTCAAAATTCTATGTATATTGTTTTATTTTTTCTTTTTTTGTCTTTGATTTTTCTTACAAAACGAAATTATTTGTCTAGTTCATTACCCTATTACGAATGAATAATTTATTTTTAGGTGACAGATAAATTTTTATTTTTGTCTTTGTTCATAAAACTTTTGCAAATCCCAAGAATATAAAATATTCTTGAAATATCAATGACAAACGGAAGAAATTTAAAAAAATGTTTTGCTTTTTATTTCTTGTTGAAAAGGTATTTTTTTTGTATTATTTCGATGATAGTTATTGCTTCAATTTTATTTCTGCTCATGTTATAGTATTTTATTTTTCAAAATATTTTCTAGAAAATGAAACTAATTGATTGATAAAATCCTAGGAAAACGAAAAACAAAAACAAAAATTGACGTTTTTCTATAAGTGAGGACAGTCGAACTAGTTTCAATCAACAGATATCTTCTATAGCAATTAAATATAAACGCGAATCTTTTTACTTTCGTCTTCAAGATAAATGTACATTTATTTATTTATTTATAAATCCAAAATATAATGATTTCGTAAATCGATGTGAAGCTATCACGACGGATTTAGGTGAACTTGAAGTCTGTAACGCTGGATATTGTGGGGACGGCAGTTGGATGAGGGTGCTCGGCAATGTGTACACAAGCACCTGCACCCAGATTTTCGCCCTGAAAAGTCCAAGTATTCTGGATTTTAGGTTTATCTAAATCCGTCCTGGTAGCTATTCGTCGTGTTAACTTCACATCAATATTTCCCTTAATAGAAAATGTTCTTATTTCAAAAAATGAATTTTTAGAATTAGTAGTTTTTTTTTTCTACTCTGCCTTGAATACTTTCTTTTGATAGTGAACTATAATGAATAAGGACGGTAGGTCAGTCATGATCCGATGCCGGAACTGATTCAATAGTTGATGTTTCCGAGCGTTTATTAATTAATAATAATGATGCAAAAAAAGAATTTTGTGAAAAGATAGACTTTTTCTAATTATTTATTTCTATTATACAAAAAAGTACCAATAACTTGAAATTAAATAAAAGAAAACGTAAAATTATATGAGTAATGTAGTCTTGTTTTTCAATTTAATTTTCAAAAGAAAGAGAAAATTTTA